GAGCCTGTAGGCACTCGTCGGCTCTGATAGGCAGTGCGTATACAGCCTGTGGAGAAGCTGCGTCCGCCTTACACGCTTCGGCGTTGCTGCAAGTACACCAGGCCAAGGCACTGAGGAACTTGCACGAGGGTGGTCACGACCAGGAAGTTCTCACGGAGCTCTGCACCGCGATGGACCTCACGCTACGAGCGACGAAGGTTACGGCGCGGTCTCTGGGTCGTGCGATGTCCACTATGGTGGTCCAGGAGCGCCATCTCTGGCTGTGTCTGGCTGACATGCGCGAGGCGGACAAGGCACGTTTCCTAAACACCCCGTGTCCCAGACCGGCCCGTTCGGCGACACAGTGGAGAACTTCGCCCAGCAGTTCTCCGCTGCCCAAAAGCAGACTGAGGCCATTAAACACATCCTGCCCCGGCGTGCAGCTGCTACCTCCACCCGGCCACCAGTGGCAGCGCCCCAGCCTGCTCGTCGCCGAGGGCCGCCCCCGCTCCCGCGCAACGTTCGCAGCAGCCTCCAGCAAAGCTGCGCCGTGGAGCCAGTCGCAGGGCAGCCGCCCCGCCCGTCCAGGCCCCCGCCAAACCTGGTGGTAAGCGAAGGTGCAAGAGGCCCTGAGACGGGCAACCCAGAGATGGAGGAAGTTGCTCTTCGGGAGATGGTGAAGGCACCACTCCCTCCCCCGGAGGAGGGCCGGGCAGAGAATCTTTTGTTTCCTTTTTTTCTGCCACTGACCTCACGGCCAGTGGTACCCAAATTCTCGACAAAAGAGCAATTTCTTCTTTCTCTGGGTCCCCTGAGGAGACGGGGGCTTGTGGACGATCCAGAGACGTATCACACTCACCCTCCTCTCTCGCCAGTGAGCAGCAGCGGGCGGATCGGGAGGACGAACCAGCGGACTACCCACGCACCCTCTGCTCGAACGCAGGTCAGTGTTACACACACCCAGACCCCACCTCGGACTGGCAAAGAGACGCCCGGGCCGGGTCCCTGCGTTCCTTTACGCTGCCCCACTGCGGGTACGCCTGTAGTTCCGTTGATGCCACTTGCGCGGCGTCTGGGAGCCTGGCTAGAGCTACCCAGCCCGTCTCAATGGCTCCGTCGAACCGTCAGGCTCGGCTACGCGATTCAGTTCACCCGGCACCCTCCCAGGTTCAGGGGCGTCCACTTTACGTCAGTGAAAGCAGCAGATGCCCCTGTCTTGCGTGCAGAGATCGCAGTCCTACTGGCGAAGGACGCAATAGAGCCGGTTCCTCCAGCCGATATGAGGTCGGGGTTTTACAGCCCTTACTTCATTGTACCCAAGAAAGGCGGTGGGTTGAGACCTATCTTGGATCTGCGCGTCTTGAACCAGGCCCTTCACAGGCTCCCGTTCAAGATGCTCACGCAGAAATGCATCTTCAGGTGTATCCGTCCCCAAGATTGGGTCGCAGCGATCGACCCTAAAGGACGCATACTTCCATGTTTCGATCCTTCCGCGCCACAGGCCATTCCTGCGGTTTGCGTTCGAGGGGCGGGCATACCAGTACAAGGTCCTGCCCTTCGGGCTGTCCCTGTCGCCCCGTGTCTTTACGAAAGTTAC